TCACTCTTTGTCCCGGCCTCGGCAGCCGAGGGCTTTAAAAAGGCGTCGGGAAGGGAAGTAGACCTGAACCCACGACAGGCACTTCCTTCTAGTCTGCAAGTCTGCTGGGCTCATCAACAAGACAAATTTAGCTTCGCAACAGTGACAGAGTTCTGGTCTGTGGTGCACGACCAGCCAGCGTGTGTGACCAAGAGCGCGGCTGACTGGAAACGAAGGTGTCACCATCGCTTGGCAGCACATGTGGGGTCCCCTCTTCCGCCTCGGGAACGTAGACATGAGAGCTCGTCCTGATGCCACTGGCCTGGCCCTCGGCCAGAGCACAGGAGCGGCTGAGGTGAGCGGTGGCTTGTTTCAGAGCTGCCCCTCTGATGACCAAGAGGCGGAATCCTCGGCAAACACCCAATTCTCCTTCCCAGGGCTTCCGGAAGTCGTAAAATGCTGCCATCTCTGATGCCCTTAACTGTTCAGGAACTGATGGAACTTAGACTCCTCTCCCTCCTGGCTGTGTCCCTCAGGTCTGCCCGGCCTGGCCTCCTGCCTCCTGAGATGAGGGCTTTGCTTTTCCTTCCGGGTCTCCTTTCAAAACTGATGCCACCTAAGCTGGTGCCGAGAAAATCACCCAGCAGTCTTTCAGTGGAGGGTAGTCACTACTTTTTCTGCTGAAAATCGTTCGTGCTTTCCACCTTTGAATCACATTATTTTAGATCTCAAGGAGAATTTTGCTATCAATTATCCTGCACTTTAGTAGTATTTGATTATGATTTGCTTCTGTGGGCATTATAGAATCATGTGATTAAATTTGCTATGGACCCTAAAGAGAGGCACACTTCAGTTATAAAAATATTTCTTCCAGAAACAATAATAGTTCAATGATTTATTTCAGGAAGCTATTATAACATGCTTATTCAACTGGAATCTGAATGCAGTTGAGTTTAAACATATAGTATTTGGGGTCAAATGCACAAGAAATGAACAGGGAGTACTTTGGGGTCACACACAGAAGTCATATTTACATGTATTTTCCATCTTTGCTTATTAGTTCACTTATTACATCTCAAGAAGGAACTTAAGGCAGAAAGCCATGAAATAGTGTATTATTATCTCTTCAAAAAGTTCATTTTTGGACAAGTATCATTTGGATGGGGATTAACTTAATCAGAGATTTTGAATCTTCCCTACTTTAATTTTAATCTCTCTCTCTTTTTTGAAAGTCTGAATCTTTAAAAGACCTAAACCTGTAGTCACAAAGCACCACTTCAAAAAAGGGAGAAAAAAAAAAAAAGAAAACGAAGAAGAGAAAGTTTTTCAAGCTGCCGGCGGCTGTGAGAGAGATAGTGCAGACAGCAGATTTGTGGCAGGGCAGAGCATGAAACCCATCAGCTGATGAGTGAAAATCCCTGGTTTCTAATTAATCGAGGTACACAGGCCAAGGGATGAAGAGGATCAGGGAAATGAAATCAGGAAAAAGATAGCATCAGTCATTTCTGCTGCCCATTGTCATACTCCAGAATCTGGTGTAATGAATCACTCAGGCATTCCACAGATACATTCAAATGGTGAAGAAAATTCATTGTCCGGTGAAGAGCGCCTGATAGAAATCTTCCTCCCCACTTTGTCAGAAGCCTGTGATCAGAAAAGGAAATCCAGACAGCACAACAGGTGTGCTTTTTGCAAGCCTGGTGAAATCTGCAAATGACTCAACTATGGAAGAATGTTTTTGTCCTGTTTTACCCCAAAAATGTGTATGGGGAGGGTTGTGTGAGGGAGCAAAGAGGGGTGAGGCCTAGAGAGACCGAGGAGGAGATGTTTTCCTGCTGCTGCTGAAAATGCGTTTTCCTGCAAAACTGAGGCAGAAAAACAGGGCCAGCGGCGGGAAAGCCAGTCGCGGTTCATGCTGCTGATTGATGTTTCCCTTGAAAGTCAATTAGTTCAACGAAGAAAGCACTGTGCATCATGCCCAGCCTCTGATCAGAAAGCAGAAACCTTAGAATCAAAGTCACACGGCTGTTCTGGGTTCCACAGTTTTTGGGGTCCCTGAGGTCCCCTCAGAGCTGTTTTCACTTGAAATCACGACCACACACCTAAGCCTGCAGGTTTTGTGCAAAGGTTTCCTCCTTCAGTCTGATTCCTACTTCCGTGGGAGAAGCTATTCACCGTCGCCTCCGGACACAGCCTCTGTCCTATGACTCGGAGGCAACCCTGTGACCCAAGCCCAGGAGGAGACCCAAGAGCCATTCAGCATTAGGTGACATGTGAAGATAATTGTTTGCAAATAATCAGGTACTGTATTGAGACATATAAGGGTGGCTGATTTATTTTAAATTTAATTACTATAAGGTTTTACTGTCTATATGATCAATCACCAAGACACTTTGGAGTTGATAGTATTAAAATTGCAACCATAATGAGAATTCTGCTCCATGACGAAAATAGTTTTAATCATGGGTAGATTACAAATACATTTACAGTTACGGTTAGTGAGAATTCTATTATCTACCTTCTCCCGTAAGATGTTAAGACATATTTGCAGGAAACGCAAAAGATCATAGAACTGCGCTGCATCTACAGAGGCGTGAGCGTGGGCTTTTGGAAACCTTAATAATCTCCCAAATTTGTAAGACTGAGGGCAAAGGCCAGGGCTCGGGTGGGGGGCAGCTCGGCTATGGGTGGGCACAAACGCTGCGTCTTTCTGGCTCCTGTTTGCTTTATTTTTTTAGTCAAAATAGATTTTGGGGAGCTCTCCACACAACACCCCCAGGTCAGGTGCTGAGGACCCGTAGCGGAGATCAAGCAGCATGGTTTCTGCTCCAGGGCACTATAGTATGCGTGGCATCGGTGCCTGCCCTAGGTTGGAGATGTTGATGTTTTCAATGAATTTCAATCCAGTTCATTGGAGGACAATGAATCACCCTAAACAGACTTGCCTTCAGTTCTGGTCGCACATTGGAATCACCTGAGAAGATCGCACTCTGTCTGTGTCTCCTCTTCCACCTCTACCTCCAGTCCATCTAAGTCTCCATCTGCATTCCCAATTGTATTTGTATCCCTATCCATATCCATACCCATAACTGCATCTATCTCCATGTTTGTCCAGGCCCGATGCGCAGAGCTTTGATGTAGGGTGGGTCTTAGGCACAAAGATTTTTATAAAGTTCCCCAGAGAACGCTGTTTTGTGCCCAGATCTAAAAACCTGCAGATTGGATTCAATCTGCAGTACCAAAATGAAACAAAAGAAAACAAACCCAGTGGGCCATCCTGCAAGAATGGAATCTAACAGAGCCAGGACTCTGGACATTAAGGAAGAGATTCCTTCCTTCTCTGGAGCCTTTGGGAAACCGTTTTCCTCGGGGTGACTGACTTTTGACTGACTGACTAAATGAGCTGTGTGTGATTTTTATGTAAGAACTTTGTCAGGAACCCAAATGCCTGGTAACTTTTTGAAATGAATATGTAACTTCATATAAAACTTCATGATCACCTTAACTAACTCTGGCTTTATCTTCCTTTCCATTATCAGAAATCACCAGGTTTTTCTTTATTAGTTCCAGACTACCTTGCTCCTGCTTGGAGATGGTAGCTAGATACAATAACTAGTATCTCGGAGTCTCAAATGGATAGGCTGAACAGGCATTTAGGAAGCATAAACATTGGGTCTTCTATGTTTAAACATGGGGGGCTGATATTTTTTAGCTCTTTATCAAGGCCAGGTATTAGTCTTCTATCATGAGTAGCTGGCACAACTTTTCCCCATTCTGTGGTTCGTCCCTTCACTCTGCTGATAATTTCCTTTGCTGTGCAGAAGCCTTTAATATAAGATAATTCCATTTGTTGGTGCTGTTTCTTGCATCACTCGTGTTCCATTTCAAGAAGGCTTTCTTGTGTCTATGTCTTCAAGAATTTCATCTGTTTTATCTTCCAAGAGGATTCAATGTTTCCAACCAAGGTGGATGTAAGCATTATGTACTGTAAACCTGTACCATTAGAAAAAGAAAGAAAGAAAGAAAGAAAGAAAGAAAGAAAGAAAGAAGAAGAAGAAGAAGAAGAAAACAGCAGCTTCTTAGCATTAACATTTACAAATATTACCTGTCAATGAAAATAATTTTTCTGGGCTGGGGGAGATGAGAATGTCACTAGATACAGCTACGACACCGTTAGTCATGAGTTCATAATCATGAATCTGAGAAATGGATACACTCTAGTTTGTTATACCATGTTGTCAACTTTTGTATATGCTTTGAAATTTTCCATAATAAAAAACTAGTAAAGACGAGCTTGAAGCTGATGTAATGAGAAGCTGCCCGCCTCTGCAGCGACCCTCGGCAGGAGGAGTGGCATTTGAGGGAGGAGGGGTCACATTTTCCAGCTGTGGGCCCCGTGGCCTCTGCGTGAATTTGCACGTTGCTCAGTGTAGTGAGAGATACTTGTTTCTGTTTCCTTCTATTTATATATTATTTCTCGAAAGTACACCTGTACACACACAGCTACAAACTAGATGTAGGAATTATAATTTCCTTTTCTCTGACTCATTACTGTTACCTCCCTGTCGGGATTTTCTTCCCAATGGCTCCCTCTCTTCACCCCTAGCCCTTGAGAATATTTTTGCTTTATTTTATTTCCTCTCTGCTCTCAGGAACTGATCACAGAGTCTTTCATCACAAATATCTCTGCACATTTACTTGATCCTCTTACTCAGTCTTTGTTTTCTAGGCCCTCCAGTGTGCGGAAGTGTGTGTGTCCAGATGCACGCACACGTAAACAATTAGCTTTTGCAAAGCTGGTCTGTGACCGGCTCTGAGGTTTGCAGCATCCCTGGGAGCGTGCACACGGCGCCCCACGCCGGCTCCCTGCTTTGTGGAACTCTATGAATAAATTACATTTCCAGGGTCTGCCAGCTTCTAATTCCAGTTTACTGCACTTTGGAACAACATCTTTCCTTCCTGTGTTGCATAATTTTTGTCTTTCCAGGGGTTATTTTCATCTTTCGGTTTGTGTGGCTCACAGACTTCTGCAGGAAGAAATAGCCTCTCCCGAGGCCGAAACTCCTTAGGGTTTATTTTGTAATTAGGTCAAATTATGTGGGTGACGAAACAGCCAGACCTCCTTCCAGGTCTCCCTCTACTCAGTCGGCAGAATTGTTATTTTGCGTACTGCCTGCATCCTAATTTTCAGGAGACAACTATGAGATTAAATGTGATTTTCCTCATAGCACTAAACTAATTTTATTGTAGCAGCTTCGGGTTAAAACACAAAGCATGAGCTGTCACATTTTACAGTGGCAACACAGAATTTTGGAGCCAGATTTGGAGGCCAATCACGGCAACCCCTCGCTGTGGATATTTAATTTATAAAAGGAGTTGGCGAAGGAAACAGAAGCAAAAAGTTGTGGGGAAGGCAAACGGTGGAGAAGGCAGCGCCGCAGCACAGGCCACTGTTTTGACCCGTCACCTTGCAGGAGGAAGGTGCTGGGCCTGGGTTCCGCTCAGGCGAAACTGACCAGAGGCCACAGGTGACCGGTTCCAAAGCCTCCTCCTGAGCCACCCTTCAAATATTTATCACATGTGTACGTATGTTTGCTCGGATTGGGATAAGTCGCGATTTGGGGATTTTGGAAGCTGAGCCCGAGCATCACCTGAGAGCTTGTCTGATTTGGGCTGGGTTCTGGAGCCAAGCACCCCGGAGGCCCCGGGAGAGGGCGAGGACGAGGGAGAGCAGGCGGGAGTGGACAGCCCGGTTGCTGGCTCTAATATCCCCGCACAATTATTTTGTGGACATCCACTCCTTGCCTGCATGGGAGATAGGGCTATAAGTGTATGTTATTTTTTAATTACAAGGGGGGTAGAAAAAATCCTGATGATGGGCTGGAAGGTGCCATTGCATTGTTATTTTTTCCTTTCCCTTCGTTTGCTGATTATGTGAGCCGGGCTCCTTTGCTAGCCGATGATAAGCAGAATTTCCATGTTCTCTGCATAATTAATCCATCTCTGCCTCTCTTCATGCCAACTCGCCCGTTATCGCCGGCACATGCCTGAATTGCAAAAGAATCCGCTCTTCAATTGGAACTTATTGATATTCTAAGAAAAAAAAAGAGAGAGAAGGGGGAAAAAACTGAAAATCCTTAAGTTTAAGCCGCAGATTTTTAAATGGATTAATTTCGCTGCAATCGCAGCCATCTAAGGGGGAAGCAGGCAGAGCAAATTGAAAGCGTCTCCATGTTTGCAGAATTGGGTCCAGAACGCTGAGATGTACTGGCATGGCTCTCTTTTAAAGTCAGGAAATTACCATTCATTTACATCACATGAAATACTTTTTTATGCCAGAAATATTCAAGAGACGTTCTTTAAATGCCTGCTAATGCTTGATAACATTTCTAACTTTCAACGTTTTGCTAGACTTTGATATGACATGATAGGAATGCCTTCCAGTAGAGGATATTATATCTGTTTATCGCATATTAGATTACATCATCTTTTTCTTAATCACTGCCAAGTAGTCTTTAGACAATGAGGTCTGTCATTGGCTGTGCAGGATTTTATGTGCTGATGGAAGTCAAGGTTAGTCGTTTATTTTTCTGGTCTACCTATGAATGAAATGTTTGTTTCTGTTTAATTTTTCTCCTTCAAATCCCAGAGACCTTGGACAATGATGATAACACTGTAATAATCATCATAATAATTCCTCAGGAGTCATTCTTTTGGCTATTATCTTAGGATAAATTCTGATGTTTGAGTGACTTGACTCCTCATTTTAACTTGGGAACAGTTACACGGGAAATCTCCTGACTTAGACAAGGATCAGTAGTTGGACTCTTCCTACGAAACATGCAGTTCAAGAATCACAAAGAGAGAAAGTTCCAGCTTCAGGATTCTTGCGATTTCCAAACAGAATTCATAAATCTTGATTAGTTGTTAATGCTTCCTTGTTTTGATCTTGAAATAGAATGCATGTTAATTTCCTGACTGGTGGCACAGAGCCCTGGCCGGGCCAGGCATCTCCTGCCCACTCGGGTGAGCCGTAGCCGGCCTGGCTCCTGGCTGAGCGGCACAGAGCCTGCAGCTCCTGCCTGCGCCCGGGGCTCACACGCTCTCGGCTGCAAGGGGAGTGGGAAGATCCACCGGGAAACGGATGGGAACGTGGTTGTCAGAAAACATTCACTGTGAAGTCTTCCCTGTACATTTTGAATCCAGTAGAACGTCAAAGGGGAAACAGTCTTAATTTTTAAAATACCAACTCAGTGGGAGGTACATTTCCTAGAAAAAATCAGACACAAGTGAGCCGTGCTATGATTTGGAGAGGCTTGTTTCAGTCACAGAACGGCAGTCTCCCTGACTGCCAGCCACCTTAGCACAGCTCACGGGCAGCAAGTGCAAGATCTGAGCCGTCAGTGAGGACTGCAGTATTCAAAGCGGTTTCTTTCCTCGGAAGTAAGGCAAAATGAATAAAGAGGTAAGCACATTTAGGGTGAAAATGTTTTTATAATCAGGAAAAATAACCGAGAGAGTGATGGTTACTATAAACAGAAGAAGAATTAAATGATACAATTTTAGCTTCCTCTTCTGTGATTCTTAGGCTACATAGCTTAGAAATAGAGAAAACTGCTAGCTTCACATTGAGTAATTTTGTGTAGTCAGCTAAACACTTTAAAGCCATTTTATAAATGAAATGAAAAATGAGCCTTCTTAAAATAGATGTAGCAAAAATATTTCAACCATAAATAACAATTTCACTGACCTTGTATACCCAAGGTCACCTTCACACCTTAAAGGTGTAAATTAAAGAATTTGAAAATTGCAGGTATGTTTGGGGAGGGGAAACTTCTCCAGACTGTTCTGTTTTGCAAAGAAAAATTGTGGTTTAAAATACAAATGTGGCTATGCTGTGTATTTAGTTCTCATTTCCAACATGCTAAATAAGGCAGTTGTATCAACCGGAAATTTATGTTTTTGTAAAAAGTCCATCCTATATTTCTGCTTTGAAATCCCTGCAATATTTTCCATGTGCAGTTAATTGTTGCAACTTGGTTCCCTTAGTCAAACACAATCTGTTTCTGTGAAATATGAATTTTGCTGCTTTTACTTCCCTGTTCTAAATTCGCCGGGTGTCTGACACGGACCGAAGGCATCAGGTTCCTAATTATGACCATATGTGCAGCTGGGGGGCAGAGGAGGCGTGATGGCCAGGGTGTGGGGTGCTGCGTGTCAGGTGCCAGGCGGAATCAAGCAGCGAGCCTAGCTGACTGCGGATGCGATAGGAATTAGCTATTGCTCTGGAAAACTGCGATGCTGACGTGGGCTCACAACTTATAATAGAAACAATTGAATGGGATTCTTTGTCCTTTCTTTTAAATTTAAGGATGAATTGAAAAGTGGAAAACGCTACTACAAATGATTTTCTTGGTGTCAAAAATTGCTAAATGGTCCTCTCCCGTGACGTTAGGAAGATGAGTGACAGCCCTTTATTGGCTCTGCCATGATGGATGGGTCCCTTCCCTGTCTCCCTTCTTCTCCCTTCCCTTTGTCGTTGCATGGGGCTGAACTTTTTGCCACCTCTGAGCTGACTTTGGCTCATCAGATACCACCAGGGCCTCAGAGTGAGGCCCCTGTTCTGCCACCCAGCAGTCACTCATTGCCACCCATCTTCCCTGAGCGGAGGTGTGCGGACACCTGAGGAAGGGGCCTCTCCTTCCATCTCTGCACCCACCTGCTCCTGCCTGGCTTTGCAAAGCTTAAGCTCACTGGGTCCTGAAGAAAACTCAACCCCGGGAACATCCCCCTCTCTGTTCAGGCCTCTCGGTCAGGCGGTTCTTGGGATAAGAGAAACAGCTGGACGTGCTGCCTGTCCAGGTCTCTGGCATGCTGGCTCCTGGGTCCAGCTTCACACACGGTGCTCATCCATGGAAAGGTGGACGCGGAGAATCGTCCAGCCCTCCTCACCCTGGGCTGGGCACCGCCGAGCCTGCCCTAATCTGTGCAGTGCCCTTTGCTTAGCTCCACACCCTCTGGGCACCTGGCTGTCCCTTCACAGGAAGGTGTCCCCAGGTGGGGATCAGCCGTTACCTGCCTTCTACAGGGGCGGTCCAGGCATCGGTGTCTTCAGATGCGCAGGCCACAGTCTCTCCACAAACGCAAGGCTGTGCGCTAAGAGGAAGAGGAGGCACAGGCCCGTCTCACCTCGATGAGAACAGAGGTTAAACCAAGGCTCCTCAGAATCTCCGGAGAGATATTCCACAGCCTTCTGACATCCACTGTTCTTAACAGCCAAAGGCATTTAGGTGTTTTCTTTAAAGCTGTTAAGGAAACAGACTAAAGAAAAGACAGCTGTTGTTTCTAATTCTGAACAATAACTTCTTTGCATAATAATAACGGGGTCTTAACTTACTCATTTGTTATCATTAGAACAATAACACCTTTATCAGAGAGCTGCTGTGATCATGCACACTAGGCAGTGCTGAGTGTGATTCCTCCAGCCCTAGGCAGAGTCACTGCCGTTTGGTCAACGCTGCAGGTGAGACAAATACTAGGAGAGGAAAGGGGGATGAAGGAAGGGCGCGCGCGAGCGTGTGTGCATGTGTGTGTACGTGTGTGAGTGTGTGCATGTTTGGGCATGTGTGTACGTGTGTGCGTGTGTGCTCTGTTTCTTACATGCAGGTATTTCCATTCAAACATTGGACAGAAATAAAAAACTTTCTTCTATTTTTTTCTGTTACTTCAAAACATAGCTCCTGAAATCTTATAAAATAACCCATATTTGATGTAAATCTTATAAAGGGCAGGCTTAGGAAGAAGTGAGCGTGCCTGGATACCGGTGCTCTCATAGTAGAAAATCTTGAGGACCCTGAGCTTTCTGCCTGCGTCCTCTCCCCTGATTTTCAGTTTTTAAACTCTATAGCAGCGGGTTTAGGGTTGAATCCTCAGGAATGAAAACTGTGATTCTGGAGTAAAGTCAGCCTTCATGTTCTGCCAGAGTTGGTTCCTTCGAGGTTATAAGACTCTGTGGATGGTCTCTTCCCAAATGGCAGAATATCTGCAGATAACCCTCGCCTGTCCTCCCAGGGAGCCACATGTGGATTGCTTACAATACCTAACACGGTGCAAACGCTGTGTAGACAGTTGTAGTGTGTTGCTCAGGCCTTGAGGACAAGAAGCAAAGTCTGCACATCTTTGGTGCAGACCTGATTATATTTCCCATGCTTTGAATCTCAGATGTAGAAACCATGAGGCAGGCTCTACAGGTAAATCACTGTTTGAACTAGATGTATTTTTGGTATCTAGGAAAAGAATTATTAAAATATTTTAACATAGTAAATGTAAAAGATGTCTCAATACAGTCAAAAATTAACATGAATTTGTCATTGTATTTCCTAAAATATTGATTTATATTCACTTCATAAAAGTGTATGCTTAACTATTCTTTCTAATAAATCAGAAACAAATGCATTAATTCTGTGTATAGCTTTTCTGTGTTAAAATTTCAATTGAAAAATAAAAATTATATGTCCATATGGTATAAAACACAGCATTTCAAAATAAGTTTGCTTTGTGAAGTGACATATACCTTAATTTTGACATTCTGAGAGGCCGAGGCAGGAGGATTTCAAGTTCAAGCCCAGGCTGGGCAACTGAACAAGACCCTATTTAAAAATAAAGTTAGCTAAATAAAATATACACAGCCTTATTGCCGGGCCTTATTTATCTTTTTGTGTCAAGAATGCTAATATCCACTTTAAAATTTTTAATCATAGAGAATTTTGATCCTAACTATACAGCTCTTGCACTCTGGTCTCCTGACCAATGAAATCTGCTGCTTTCCCCCCCCCATCTGCTCTCAGATTCCTACCTGAGCCCCAGGTAACCCCCGTTCTCTCTACGGTAACCTCCGTGAGTTCAGTTTTTCAGACCTGAGCATGTGTACTGTCATTCTGTGTGCTCAGCTTATTTCACTTCACATAGTAGCCGCTAGTTCATCCGTTTTTATCATACATGACAGATTTCCTCTTGTTTTGTGACTGAGCACAATTCAATCATAGGGCATACCAAATTTTCCTATCCTTTCCAAAGGTGTGTACTGGTTTGCAAATACTTGATTCATATGCAGCACAAGGCATGCTAGAGAAACGATCAGTTGCGATGTCTCTTAATTCTAGGATTATATTACTATTTTTAGAACTGATTCTCCCCTGCTTTATTCCTCAGCTTTCCTTGGTCATGTTTATTATAAATATTGATTACTTTTGTAATCATATTAGAGCCTGCATCTTAAAAATACTATTATCTTAAACATTTGTAAACACACCATGATAGATTCCTAATTTTAAATGCTTATTATAATAAAACAATTATAATATTAATGAAGTTACTTAATGAGTACCTACCATGTGTAAATCTTTGTGCAGATAAAGTATTATTTGCAATCTAATTACAACACAAGGGAGAACGGACAATTTTCATGTCCCATGAGGAGGAAAATTAATTCCCACTTGAGCAATGTTGTTCTTAAATGCTGCACAATTTGCATTTTTCTCCCACCTTACTCTCTGTTTGTCTCTGGATTTTCTTGAATCTCACTTGAAACAGGTGGACCGTGGACCAACATGTACAAATCTCGGTCCATTCAAGGTCATCATTATCACAACAGCACGGTGACAATAAGATTAGATCAACATGGACAAATGAACATATCCAATCTGTGTTGAGAGAGGATGGGGAAATGCTGAAATAGTGAACAGGAATTATGCAAGTAAGACTGTCCTAAAAGGTGCCCGGTGACATAGATCTGGATTTTATAAAGAAGAAAGAGCCATGTCCTGGACCCAGAGCACCAGGAAAATGTGGACACAGACTTTCATTTTGCTGGATGGCAGACTCAATAAATGCAATTTGAAAACTAAAAGTATAACATTAGTCTACAATTTTCTAATACGTGAGAAAAGTAAGCACAGATAACTTTACAGGTGGAAAGGAATCTCGTTATTGCAATTTATTGATATGATGCAAAGTTGAGAAAAAACTATCTTAGGGAAGTATTCCTAGGTGATAGGTTTACACCATGTTGCTCTCATTAAAGAGAAATAAATGTGCATATTTTCAAAGAGAAACATAGCTTTTAAATTGTCATTCCTAAAAATGCACTTACTGAAATGTTTTTTATGAAAACTCACAAAGTTTTGGTGTCTGTTTCACAACCTCTCCAATTGTTTGCTTTAAAAATCCATCGCTCGGGCTGGGATTTGGCTCAGCAGCATAAGCGCCTGTCTTGCAAGTACTAGGTCTTGAGTTCGATCCCCGGTACCAAACAAACAAATAATAAAATCCATTGCTTGTTTCCTTGGTTTCCTTCTGTGTTTTCTGTGATGACTCTTCACAGCACGACCCACGGTATGAGGTCAGGAAGTCGTGATGCTCTCTGGGCTCCAGGTCCCCTTTGTGTGATGGGGATGATAACACAGC